GAAGTCACCTCCCAATAAATGTCATTTTGGAAAATCTAACTGCTCACATTTACTCAGTACTTTTACTTTTAATACTTACTGGTAAGTAGATTTTGTGTCAGAAATTTACTTTTGATACTTAAGTACAAAAAATATCAGATACTTTAAGACTTTTACTCAAGTAATATTTTTAGAGAAGACTTTAACTTTTACCAAAGTATTTTTATGATAAGATACTTGTACTTTTACTSAAGTAATATTTTTAGAGAAGACTTTAACTTTTACCAAAGTATTTTTATGATAAGATACTTGTACTTTTACTCAAGTATCAATTTGAGGTACTTTATACAACACTGTTCAAGATATCACCATGAAATTTTAGGAAAAGATTCACATTCTGGTTTTTATAGGAATCATCTTGTATCCTAAAAAACTAATAAAACTTAATAATAGCCGATTCAAAAGTAGCAGAAATGTATAAAATAACATTACAAGGCAAACTGTAGCATCAAATCAACTTAATGTGTCTTAGAAAGTAAGGAAATTAAAACAATTTAAAAACCATGTGGACGTGTTTTGTAAACAAAGCTCATCAACCAATGACAGCGAGTTAAATGTGTCATGTGATGAAGACGAGCGTCAAAACACTTTGCAACAAGAGCTATTCTGGATTAAAAAGAACAAACGTCAACGTTTCAAATTATTATCAAATTAGGAACAAGGGCAGATAAAATAATGTTCTTCATGGCAGCTTCTCTATTTAAGGTTCACTAGAAAATCTCATGATTTGATCCTAATTTCAAAAAATTGTCTCTTCAAAACGCATTAAGAAAAATTAAAAACTGGAAGACGAGGTTGTAGCTAATTACCTGCGGTTTGTTGAAATTCATAGAAATAACGAAGCAGGAGGAAATAACAAGCAAACACAGAGCAGTGTCAAACAATCTGGTCACAGCAGTTGGGGAAGAAAAAGGCAGCAGCTGCTGACGACATGTCAACATCCCTAAAATATGACATTTATAAAAGCTTGATTATGCAGTTTCTGCTCTGGGAGGAAATATGAGTGATTTAATAAATAAATGTACTCTAGTCAAATCTAGCTTTTATCATCTACGTGTCCTGACCAGGGTTAAAGGTTTTTAATAGCGCTGACTCAGAGAAGGCCTTTCTTCAGTTTTAGACTCGATTATTGTCATGGACTTTATATCAGCATCCCTCAGTCTTCAAACGACTTCAACCTGTCCAGAATGCAGAGTGGAGCTCGTCTTTTAACCAACACCTCTAGACAAGAGCAAGTCTTCTCTTGGACCAAGCTTTTCTCAGGCTCTGAGACATAAGAACTTGAAAGCTGAGGTCTTGAAAAACTTAATGAGATTCTCTCCATTTGTCTGTTTTCATGATGTAAATAAGGGCATGTTCTGTAATTTACAGACAATCACAACATAACATGTATGAACATTACTGTGTTGAAAGTGAACTCATCTTAGGATTGTCAGTTTTATCTTGACATTTCTCATAATAATCTTGAGCATGAAATCTGAGGCAGTGATTGGTCCACGCTGAGGTTTGGTAATGACGTCATCCAGGATCAGCTTTGTGGCACAGCAAAGTGTCGTAAATCAGCTCTAAGACTGATATTGAGATATACTCTGACACTTCCCTTAAAGTCAGACTGACTTTAAGATTTACTCTGACACTTCCATTAAAGTCAGACTGACATTAAGATTTACTCTGACACTTCCCTTAAAGTCAGACTGGCATTAAGATTTACTCTGACACTTCCCTTAAAGTCAGACTGACATTAAGATTTACTCTGACAC